AATATTTTAATAATATCTAAATAAATTATTTTTTATGATAAAATATTATTTATTATGTTTAATTAATGTAATGCTAAACTATGTATAATAAAAATAATTTGTATTATAAATAAGATATAATTATTAAAATTTAATATTTATATACATATAAGTTAATTTATATTACATACATTGACATATATAAAAGTATATACAATTTATTTTATTTATTATTTATCAAATTAATTTAAATTTAATTATATATTATAAAACTTTTTAATCAAGTAAATGAATGAAAATAAACTAAAAAATTTTAATTAAAAATATATTTTTTGATAAATAATTAAATTAAAGACATAAATTTTCTATGAATAATTAAATTAAAATTATTTTTTAAAATTTCATAATGATTATTCTTTAGTGATGTTAAATTAACTTACTATAAAAATAATAATATAATGCTTATATTTTATATTTCTAAGAATAAAAGTATAACTTATTGGATATTTTAATACATAGAACATAACTAGTGTAATATTATAATCTCTTATGAAAGGAAAGTTTAATTTATATTAATGATGTTAATTCTACACATTTCCGGTTCTCGCATGCTAAGTAACCATATTTTAGTCTTTTTTAATAAATTTTTCTTGAACATTTTTATAAGAAAAAAATATAATATTTTTTAATAAGTTAAAATTAACTTTTACATGAGTTAAAAATAAAATTTTAAAATATTATTAAAATTTTTATACAAATTAATTTATAAAAAGTTATTACTCTTTTATATTTTTTCTCTTAAATATACTTCTAAAAAAATTATATAAGCATACACTTTATCTTCTACTCACTTTTATTCCAATTCTCAACTTCTCTTCCAATTCCCACTTACCGAACAGGGGTTAAAGAGAAGTAAAGTTTAAAGAGCAACAACTAAGCAAAGTTGTTTCTGTTTCGAATAGCCCTTCAACAAAAAAATTTAAAAGATAGTACAAACTCACCTATAAGTGTACCATTCTGACATGACCTATTGTCAGCTTCTTGCTTTAACCTTTCCACTTAACTCTTCCACTACCACCCATTTCAGAAACCTCTGCTTTTTCCCCTCTCTCTCTCTTCACTTGCCATGTCGCTGGTAAGGCATGTCATCATGTTAATGTTACATAAGTTTATGTTAAGAATATAATAATATTTAATAGAATATAAAGAAATCAAGGAAGAAAAAAGTTAATAAAATATATTTAATAAGAAAAACATATCGTTATCCTTTTTTTTTCCTCGTTCAAATATTACCATTGGTGTCGACTGAACCTTTAATAAAGAATAAAAAAGTAAAATTCATTTAATATATATTTTAAAATAGTTAAATATAAAATAAATAAATACTCAAATTGATTAAAAACATTATAAACATTTTGATATTCAAGATAATCGTTTAGTTTCTAAAATTTCAAAACATCTTAATTGCTTAATTCAAGAATGAAAAGACCAAGATATTTTAGTTTTGAATGATTATTTAGTAATTTTACTTAAATTAAATTAGGTCAACTAACTAAATGTTATTTTAAATATATAAAAATCAATACATTTGATAACAATATAAAAAATATTAGCAACTTGCTATCTAATACAACAATAAAAAAGGAAACATAGAAATTTCATTAATAATAAAAAGTCTGTTGAAGATAATTTTGCTGACACTTCTCAACTATATACAAACCATTGACATTATCATTCCATTTTAAGGAAAATGATAAAATTTCAACATTAATTATTATATGTAAAAGAGAAAAGGTCAACTCACAGCAAGTGTGATTTCAGTTGGATTTGGAGGATTTATTTAACAAGTTACATGTAATTTTCACTATAATTCTTTGTTGATTGTATGAGATTGATGATTTTCTCTCACATTGCAACAACGTGTACTTCCCCTAATTTAATCTTAATAAAAAAGAGAAGATATTTCTCTTTCTTTGGTGTCCCAATAATCCCATCAAACTGAATTAATGAACACACACTCTCTCTAGTTCGGTAGTAACCAGCACCAGCACCAGCATCGGCATCAGCAGTGAGAGTAGAGCATAGCAGCAATGAGTTCTGGTTCAGTCACCAAAGCTTCACTCTCTTCCTCCTCATCCCCCAACTCCTCCACTGAGTCCCTTGATGGGTTGAAGTTTGGCCAGAAAATCTACTTTGAGGATGTGAGTGTTGCTGCAGCAACAACAGCTCAAGGGGCCAAAACAAGTGTTGGGGTCTCTTCTTCTTCTTCTTCAAAGAAGGGAAGGGGTGGTTCAATGCTAGGGGCTCAGCCTCCAAGGTGTCAGGTTGAGGGCTGCAAAGTAGATCTGAGTGGAGCTAAGGCTTACTATTCTAGGCATAAAGTTTGTGGCATGCACTCCAAGTCCCCTACTGTCATTGTAGCTGGTATTGAGCAAAGGTTTTGCCAACAGTGCAGCAGGTCACACTTCTTATCTCCCTGCCTTTCTTTATTATTCATTTCAAAAAGGATAAATCTTCTTTTTGGGTTTTCTTATTCTTTAGTTTTTGCTATTTTTAGTGGTTTTCCTATATTGGGAAGTTATGCTTTGCTTTACTTTCCTCATCTTACATCCAGCTTTGGTTTTTGCTACTTTCAGTGCTTTTGCTACTTTCAGTGCTTTTGCTACATTGCTATTCACCTGACTCTATTTTTTTTTTATTATTTTAAAAAATGTTTTTGCTTTTTCTTCTTTCTTGTATGGTTTTGGTTGTATCTTGTAGATTGCTTGTTATTCATTTCATGGCTTTAATCATGCTGTTTATGTTTATTGTGTTTGTTTTGCTGTAGTTTTTATTTTATTTTATTTATGTTGATTGTGTGTCATGATTCATGGGCTTCTCTTACTTCATGATGAAGTGGGTGTTAAGTGAAGTGTTAGCAATTTGCTTTTGTTATTATTTATTTATTTATTTATTTTTTGTTTTAGGTTTCTAGTGCTTCTTAATGGTTGGAGAGTGTTTTATGTCTCTGGATTTGATGCATCTGTTGGTGCTGTGTGTTGTGCTGTTTGTCTTGTAATTATGGTTAGTGATTGTTGAGGGTATATGCTTTATTTAGAAAACAGAATGCTGCTTCTGTTTTTCTCTTTCATGGTATCATGAAGTGCTCACGAAGGGAAAGTGGAGCTGTCAGAGAAGGGAAAAGCTGTAGAAATGATTGTGAAACTTGAACTAAGCTGCATAATATGCGAAGCAATGCAGAATGAACTCAGATTGTAAAAAGTTCATGATTTATGTTTAGACACACTGCGCCTCCACGAGTGTCAATTTGGAATAATAAGCCCATGAAACATTATTTTTCTTTCCCTTTTTAATTTGTCATGTGAATTTCATATTGTCCTTATGGTCAAGAAATGACACCTCTCTCATGTAAGTTCATTCAATGAGAAAAGTGCTTTTTTTTTTCTCGGCACGTTATCATATTCAAATAATGTAATGTCTCCTTAAGGTACATAAGGTTTGATGCCGTATCATTGCTACTGAAAAATGCAATCTGTTGTCACTTGCTTTGGGGACTGTGTTAGATACTTCAATGGGGCTGAAATCCGTTAGTAACTGAAATAACAGCAGTTAGTGACTGTTGTTATTTAATGGTTGAAGTTAGTTAGTGTGGCAGCTGGATAATCACTTGGGTAGTTAATGATAAAACTCAAGGGGGAAGAGGGTATAGCAAGGGAAGGAGAGGAAGAGATCAGAGATGGATATCTTCTGGAAGCTAGATCGTTAACAAAGGAACGATTGGGAGTGTTCTGTGCTCTTCATTCTTCAATAAAGATTTCATAATTTCATTCCTGTTCCTGAATTCTGTATACCGTTTATATCTTTCTGATAAATAGTTCAACCCTTATTACATCTGAAATTACTTTCCTCTTCAATTTGACTCACTGTTTTAGCGAATTTTACTGCATTTTAGGGATGTTTATAGTGGCAAAATGTTGCTAACAAGTGTGAAGTTTTGGAGGTGGATGGTGATCATAGTTGGGTAGTTTACTAACTATAAATGTTACTAACAAGTGTGTAGTTTTGGAGGTGGATGGTTGTCATAAATGGATACTTTACTAACCATAAGATTTGGAAACCATGGCCTATTTGTTTGCCAATACTTTTGTGACAATAGGAATGAGGTGAAATACAAGAGCCATTTGAGTCCTCTGATCGGTTGGGCCTTATGTAATATTGCTCCTCTACTGGTAAACTAATTATACTTTTCCGGATTGAGATTCTTCAGGGAATGATTCTCTTCATGCAGAACTAAAATTTTCAAATTAAGATGCACTCTTTGTGGAATTACCAACTTGTGCTCTAAGTTCCTATTGATTGTCAATATCATACAACTTCATCTGTTGGTCATGTGTATTGTGGTATGATGGATCATTTTAGAAACGAATCTTTGCTAAATAATTTAATATTCAACATTTTATATTTGTAGACACATTTGACCTCCAAGGCATGCAAGATGCAACATGTTCTCTGGGGAAAGGTAGATCTTATAGACTGACAATGGTTGGTGTTAATCACTTATGCTCCATAATAATGTTTAGCAATTAAAAAGTGATGGGAAATTTGTGGATGCTCGCTGACCCCTTTGAGTGGGACAAAGGCTTAGTTTAGTTGTTATTATTTCTCTGTTTTAGCAGGGTTGGAAGCATATGCTTTTGGTTATCTGGTATGTGTAGCTTATTGGTAACTAATTCTAGTTTAATTTGAGGTTTATTTCACTAGGGGTAAAGATATTGTTGATGGGATGGCGTGTAAATTCTATTTATAATGATTAGACTTGCTTGCAGGTTCCTTTTCATAGAAGCGACATTAGTATATCTGTCTTGAACATATTCTGTCTATTCTGTGGCTATCTAAATTTTTTAAATGTTTTCTTACTTTATAACAAGAGTTTAAACATACCTTGAGGTAGCCCCATAATTAAGCGTTTTCTGGGGTTTTTAATTTGACATACATGTTTTATACATGTAATCTTGTCCCTCTTAGCAACTAGCAAGAGAAAGAAATTTATTGGTATCCGTGTTTCATACATGTTTTATATATTGAAGTTGAGTTTAAAATATCTTGGAACCATGGGATGTTCGCTTGATTCTATGTTGATAGGATTTTTTGCTGACACTATCTCAAAACTTAGTTTATTATGCTTGCGACTTAAGCTGTGTTGCCAATATGCTATCCTTTATCCAATCCGTGAACATTTCTGAAAGATTTGGTAATTGCATCTTATGGAAATGCACCTACCTTCTGTTATATTTTGTAGTATGTTTTTACTGAAACTTGATAGCATTTATATTTCAGAAACTCATACTCTCTTTTGTAGCATACTTATACATAAACTAGGTAGCATTTACATTTCAGAAAAGCTAATATCCTCTTTGATAGCCCTTGCCCAGATTTCACCTGCTTTCTGAATTTGATCAAGGAAAACGAAGCTGCCGCAGGCGACTTGCCGGCCATAATGAGCGCCGACGAAAGCCGCCTCCCAGTTCCTTGTTAACCTCTCGCTATGGCAGAATTTCTTCGCCTATTTTTGGTTAGAAATCATCAGTAAAACATCAATTCCAAACCTCTCTTTCTGCTCAATTTATCCCTACCAAGTATAATAATTTAAATTTGAGTAAATTATACTGACACTCTGGTTTTGTCAAATTGCACGCACATCTGCTTTTTTCATCCCTACACTAATCCCCTTAATTGTTTGAAAAGTATTACACTAACATCCCTTTGACATTACACAAACTTTCCTTAATTGTTTAAAAAACCATTACATTGTGTTATGGGCAGGATGTTGTAAACATTAAAAATACAGGAATTATGTGCAATTTCACGAAACATCAAGAGTGTCGGTGTAATTTACTCTTTCAATCTTTGTCATTCTTTATCTATAAAACATCCAACAACTGTTTGGTTCATGTGTTTAAACAGACAACAATGCCAGACCTGGTGGCTTTCTGATGGAATTCGCTTCATATCCAAAGCTTACACTGAGAAATTCATTCTCAACACCAAGATCAACCGAGCAAGTTCCCGGGAACCATGCTGCAGCACTTACCTGGCAAACCAGTTCAGACACACCATCTGAATTCTTCCTGCAAGGATCAGGAAGTGGGGGTGGAACAAGCTTCCTTGGTCCGAAACATCCTTTAGTGGAAAGCTACACTGGAGTCACCGACTCGAACTGTGCTCTCTCTCTTCTGTCAAGTCAAACATGGGGTTCCAGGAACACCAACACAAGTGCTGAGCTGAACAACACCTTGTTGAACTTCAATGGGACATCATCCATGGCGCAATTCGCCGTGGCATCTTCTCAAGTTGCAGCCATCCATCAGCTTCCAAACGCCACATCATGGTACTCAAAGACTGTTGGTTCGCCGGAGGCTATCCCTGATCTCGGTCTCGGCCAAATTTCGCCACCTCTCAGCCATCTTCATGGTGAGCTTGATGTGTCACAGCAGGGTAGGAGGCATTACATGGATCTGGGGGAGTCCAGGGCCTGTCAGTCTTCTCACTGGTCTCTTTGAAGTTCTTCTTTGCTGTCATAATATTAGTATGAGTATCATATAGCACAGGAAAATGAGAGGGGAATGAATCTGTGGCTATTAGTACTATACTATTGCAATTTGGTTTCTTTGAACTTTTGAAGCAACGTGGGTGTATCCCTACTTTGTTTGTGGAACTTTGAATTATGATTATTTTGGTTTGTGTGAACTTATAAGCAAGGTGTGTATCCTTGTTTCTTATTTGGAACTTTCAAGACTTTGTTATTTTGGTATTGGAACTTATAAGCTGTGGTAAGGCTTGTTTTATTTTGTGGGAGTTTCAGACATGATTTGAGGGGGAGCAAGTAATGTATGTGATACATGTTTTGTTTGCATGTAGGTCTGGTATTCCTCTTAATGCATATTCCATATTGTTGATCCTAGAAATTCGTTTCAAGAAACGATGATTTAGGGGGGTGTATTGGATTAGGATTTTAAAGGACTTTCTTGCGTGAAGTCTTCTACGTTTATTAGCTGTTGTGTTTGACTTTAGCTAAGATCTAAGAACCTTTTTGTCCTTTTCCGGTCACGTAGCTATAGAGTGTTGTCCTTATCTGAAAAAGTAATGTACTTTTTCTGACACATGCGTACTTTTGCTTCTACGCTTGATTTTCTCTTTCTTCTTTTCATCTTTTACTCGCATAACCATATTGAGAGCTTTTATACGATTGTAGACAATGTCTGAGTTGTCCTTGGAGACATGGTTCTTCAAATGCTTGCATGGCAGTCTTTGTTTGTGCTTGTTAGTCCATTTGCGTCTCAAGTCTTGATCTTTGTCTGAGCATTTGACGTTAATGCTTTGACTCTCTTTTGGTCTGGTCAACATTATAGATGGACAAACTTTGTTTTTGTCTGGAATATCTTTCAGTTTGTGTTGTCCTTCGTCTGATGCGTAGTTAACTTTCTTCTGATCTTTGACCAATGCTTCGTCTGATTTCTTATGTTGCGCTTGATGTTGTCCCTGACACACCTTCGTCTGATATTAGACTTATATTCGTCTGGCACACATATCATACTTTATCTATTTATTTGGCTTGGTTTGTCTGATTCTCATGATGTGCCTTGCCTTGATTATTCTTCAACTAAGTTGACCATTAGGCTTCATCTGATGTTTGTATGGACTTCATGTGATGCTTAACCCACTTTTGTCTTGTTCTAGATTTAGCCTTGTTTTGGCCTTTTGTCTAGTATTTGTTGAATGTTCTTTTGGCTTTTGATCATACCTAGTCCTGTTCCTTGACTAACCATCATTTGATGTTCTTGTTTAGTTCGTCCATACTTCGTGGATCTTGCATTTAATGTATTTGATCTAGGATAAAATGTTTGCTTGCCGAATCTGTGTTACGTGAAGTCTTTTGTACCGTTTGTTTACTTTTATGTCTGACTTCAATCATAACCTAGGTATATCTATACTTTTCCTGGCATTGTAGCTGCAAAGGCGTTGTCTTTTTCTGAAAGGTAGGTGTACTTGCTCTGACACACGCAACTTTGACTTGTGGATACATGCTAGTCCATTTTTCTTCTCTCTCCTCATGTTTTTGATGACTTCATGTGTTCTTCTAATAGTGTGGATGATAAGCAATATTCCTTGTTGTGACTTAGTGGACTTCATACGTTTCTCAATATTCTCTGTTTGCGTCTAGAATTTAAGTCTCTATCTGAGAGGTAGACTTTGACTTTTCTTTTCGACTGGTCAATTTGTGAAGATGGAATACTTTATTACATCTGGAACATCCTTTCGTGTTATGTATATCCATCGTCTGTGGTTTTGTATCATTTCAGGCTTCATTATTTTCTTTCTTGTGCTAGGCTTGGCTTCATTTGATCTCTTCATCTGATGCCTTGTAGCTTTTACCCTTTGTCTTAGTTCTGGTTCGGGAAGTTGCACATGCTTTGTTCTTCATTTTGTCTGTACATATATTTTTCTGAAACACTAACACACTTGATAGAAATAACAATATGTATTATATTTGTCTCATTCAAAACCTTGCTGGAAATTATTTCGTCTGACTCAACACTTACTCCCATATAAATATGATATTCCTAATCGCACCATAAGAAAAGTATGTAAGGGTAAGCTAGTATTCAAAAGAATAAACGTTAAATAAGTATAGAAATAAAACAACTATACTACCAACACCAATATGTAAACCACACAACCACAAAAATAATCGTGGCTTACAACATAACAACATAGAAACATAATTTTAGCACCTCAACCTGACATTCAACAATCTTAGAAGGTAAACAACCTAATCACCTCACAATATTTTCCAACTTTCTCCACAATAATGCCATTAAAAAACAATCCACATGATTTCTCGGATTTTGCCACTTAAATTAGGAAGTTTATTATTCCTACCAAGATAGAATAACTTGGGTGTGAACCTATCATGACATTAGCTTGCATAACTAAGCCACATATGATATTAGCTCATTGACTACTCTCTAAATACTACATTATTTCAATACTTAGTTAGGAATTTTAGTCCTGATCTTATACGTTATTCGATTGGTCACTTTATTTATGTTTTCCTTGATTTTGCCCGCATATATATCAACAACGGTCACTTGTAATCAGTATAGCTTGACTTGACCTCTATATTATAGCCACATACCACATTAACTAAGGTCCTATAAGAGACTCAACTATCTACTTCAAGAAACAACTATTCAAGAAGGTTTTTCAACAATCAGGTTGGTAGAGCACCAAATCAATAATCGCTAAGAACCTTTTTGTCCTTTTCCGGTCACGTAGCTATAGAGTGTTGTCCTTATCTGAAAAAGTAATGTACTTTTTCTGACACATGCGTACTTTTGCTTCTACGCTTGATTTTCTCTTTCTTCTTTTCATCTTTTACTCGCATAACCATCTAGGACAATTTTTCATGATAATTCACACCAGCAAATAAAATGTTTATTTGTTAGAATTAAACTTTGCAAATCTTGATATAAATTATTTTTATTCAAACTAACAACTTAATGTTTTTTAAATTTGAATATGTATGGAAAATACATGTAATAGAATTATAATAATCAACTAGACAATGACATACACCCGCACGATGTGTGGATAGAAAAGAAATTATTTAAATTAAAAAAATATTATTCTGTTAATTAATATATAAGTTTATATATATATTAATTATGTAATATAAGTTTTTTTATTGAGTTTTTACAACAAGTAAACTTATTATTATTTGTAATAGGATTTTAAAGAAAAAAATATTATTATAAATATTTTTGTATTAATATTTATATAATATTTCATCCTTTATTTATTTTGTTAGATTCAAATTCAAAAATATAAGATTGAAGTAAATAATCTTTTAAAAAATTCATAACTAAAGGTAATATATCCAAATAAATATTTTTTTATAACTAAATTAAAACAGTCAATTTTAATTTTTTATCAAATTAATAAATTGATAATAAAGAATATA